GGGGGGGGGGGGGGGGGGGGGGATACTTTTTACATTAGACATTATGTGAAACAAGCTTGGTTTATGTTACAGAGAGGGACAAAATGATAGAGATTTACTCTGTCTGTGTTTAAAGCATATGAAAATACAAGAATGTATCTTAAATTCAAAATGCCCTTCAATATACTGTATTCATCAATAATGTAACATCAGTATTATTTATTTGTAACATTTTAATATCAGCATTGACAATAAGTTGTGTTCTATGTTTAATTTAAAAAATGAAATAGGTGTTTAAACACATAAACAACACTCAACCCCCCAAAAAACAGTGACATTTTCCTGTTTRTTCTTTATTTTCTTATTCAAGATCCTTGCTTAAATCCTATGATACAATGTAAACACAATGCAGTACATTTTCATAAAAATAATATTAATTCAATAATCATATTAGTCAACTAAATATGACATTAAATTATAACTATAAGTCTAAAAGTAAATTATTTTCAGAATAACAAAAAACAAACAAACAGTGATTGTGTGTTCTTTCTTTTTTTTAATGATGGATTATTAAGGCAATAGTTGACCTTTTAACGTTTAAAATCCCATTTTTACACATTTTTGCAACTCCTCTCACAGATTTATGTGACACATTCACAGTGTTATGTCTCTGCTGCTTGTTTGATAGTTCACATTTGGCCAAAAATATGCCAAACCACTATCAAGCTTTAATAAAATGTAACCCACAAGTACTGGAAGAGAAACACTGGACTACAAACTCGTTCTGTTATTGCTATAAAAGGATTAAAGTCAAAGAAAGAACATTTCCCAAACTGCAATGTGAGTTCCATGTTATGGCATCAGATGAGTGATTTTAACATTAAAACCTTCTCAACTGAAGATACTTTTTCTAGACATTAAAAATAAAACATCGTTAAGCTTAAGTATAAAAGTTTAGATATTTGGTGTGTGAAAAACTGAAAAACGTAATTATCAAAGGAGATCAAAGTAAGTTATTTTTTAAATACTTTCAATTAAAGCAGTACATGTTGTACTTTACTGAATACTCACCCAGGTACTTGGGGTTCTGCCATGACGGTTGTGTTGTGTAGTCGAACGGGGCCAACAAGCTGTTGATCTCATGAACTCTACAAGAAAAGATCACACGGTGCGCTTTTAAACGTCATCGGGCTCTTCTGTTTTACGATCTGTACGTTTCTTTAACGGTTTCGTGTGAGCGTACCTGAACAGACCGATGCAAAGACTGACCACGATGTAGTAGAGAGAGTAGAAGCACACCATGCACATCAGCAGGTTCTGCAGAACAACCTGAGGGCACAGGACACAGTGTGAAGGAGCTCTGTTCATGTCATTAAAAAGCAGCTTTACTGGAGGGAAAGTGTTTGGAATGACTCTCAGCTACTACCACACCTAACATACTCATTATCTGAACAATTGACTAAATAGCTCTTTGACGAGGGTTGATCATGTGGTAGCCATCTTGACTCCAAAGCAAATCAAATGAAGTTATACTTCAAGTACCTGCTGAGAGCATTAATAAACTACCCAGTGTTTCTACCTGARCACATGGCAAAGTGGATTTAACTAAGGTCTGATGTTGCTGCAGTTGGTCAGGTCTAGGTTCAGCAGCAGGATGTGCTCAAAGAATGAGGTCAGCTGACCTGTATATACTGAATGAGCAGATTAATCCATCAATGGATTGTTTTTCCCTGATGGCACAGGAATATTCCAAAATGACAATGCCAGGATTCATGGYGCTGGAATAGTGAAAAAGTGGTTCAGGGATCATGAGACATCATTTTCACACATGGATTGGCTCCACGGAGTCCATTGAGATTCTTTGGGATGTGCTGGAGAAGGCTTTGTGCAGCGGTCAGACTCTACCATCATCAATGCAAGATCTTGATGAAAATTAATGCAACAAAAGCTGACATGGCAGCAAAAATAGGAAAAACCAACAGGCAAAGGAGACCACAAGGAAACCAGGGCAGAAAAACAAACAATGACCGGACAAGGAAGTGGAAAAGAAGGACTGGGTTGAGTGAAAAGTAGCCTGGTAAAAACCAAACCCTTATCCTTCACCTTGCTTTGGACAGAGGGTCTGGACTCGCTGCTATTGAAAAGCGATTCTTGCAGGAGGCGTGGCCTCTGCTGAAGTGTGTGTGTGTGTCGCTGTGAAGGAGGCTAAGCTAAGAAGCTAACCGGAAATCGCGTGTGCTGTAAACAACCCTACTGAGAAGAGAAAAGTACCAAGCCGAACGATACAACTGTAAATGAGAGCTGCTGCTTTGTCAGACAAATTTATTTTAATTTGGAAGCCTTATCAACACGGACTGGCTTCATTCACTTCCTCCATTTCCATTGCTAAATTAACAGACACTGTGCAGAAAATCTATGTCATTCAAAACTCCGCCTTCTGTTTGCTGATTGGTCCAGGTAAAATAAACTACAAACAGACACTGTTCAGAAAATTGACGTTCTGTTCTCTGATTGGCCCGGCTAAAAATCTGCCAGCGAAATCCTTGTCTATGGGAGAAATCCCAGACGGAGCAGAGAAGCGAAACTAGAARTGAGCGGAGCTSCGTAGGAAGGCAAGGGCCAGGCTAAGTGAAAAGTGGAAAAAGCTGAGTGATTACAGAAATACAGAGACAGGTGTGAGAGAATAATCTGGAYSGGACTGAAAGACTGAGGACTGAGATGAGGGTGTAAGACACAGAAGGAACACKAGAGGGGGACAGAGCACAAGACACAAGACAACAGATCCTCCCAAATTTAAAAGGTAAAATCAATCAACCTTTATTCRGGACACAAGAGGAGTCAATAGTAAAAATAAGACAAATACATACAAAAAGAAAAATGTTTCTTAAAAAAAGATAAAACTTGTTGTTTTACATAATTTAGTGTTTCCCCTACTGTTATCTGAGGAGCGGAACAATCATTAATCACCATCAGTTTTTGCTATTTGCCTCATAAACTATTGTCCAATACACTAAAAAAAACAGATGTGTTGGATTTAGTTAACCAAGTTATATCAACTGGTTCCACTCAACTGAGATGAGTAAATGTAAAGCAACTTTCACATTTAATRAATGTACAGCTCAGAAAACATGTTTTTTTAGCGTATCTGTCATTTATTTGAATTTAACAAATTAACATAAAAGCCACAACACTTCAAAGTTAGTATATCATACACCTTTTGGTCTAGATGCATCCTATAAGAGAAAAAGGTCTGCTCCTTCTTTTTCTGCTCTCTTCAGTGACCCAGAAAACATGCCCCCCGACAGCAGCCAGTCTACAGGAAATGAGGTCCACAACTCCCCAGGAGGAGAGATAAAAGACCTTTTCTCATGGCTGACATTTGGGGTGGTCAAACGCAGGTGCAGCTAATTGCTTCAATAATCAGCTCCGTTCCAGTCGTTGGGTCGGTGCCAGGCACGGCTCCATGGCTTACTGGCACACCCTAATGGAATGGGGGTCATGGTTAATCCTATTAGTTACACTTGTGATTTCCTTCTGGGATGAGTCAAATGTCTGCTGTTGTACAGAGCTTAATACAGGAAGAATAACACACTCCACAGCCCATTAAACAAACAATTACTTGACTATAATAAAGTTCAAGGCTTTAAAGTAGGCGTGTCAAACTAAGTTACAATAGGCAGCCAAAATTTAACGTTTGGTTCAAACCAAGGGGAAGTTTTAGTCATTACATAATAGTCAATACAATTAACTCGAGTCAGATACCTGACCTGTTTTTTTCTTGTTTACAGGCTCGTCAACAAGCATTTGATCTGTCTAATTTAAAATGTTTTGTTGCTCTTTCCACATCAAAATCAAAGATTACTTAAAATTTCCAACTCGCTTCAAATTTGACCACCGGAAAATCTGCGCTAAATAAAGCATGCTCAGATTTTAACGCAAAACTAGAACCGATAAAAAATATTTTACGTTAAAATTATCCCTTTTGGGGTCCTGATAAAATGCTAACGTGGGTCCGATTTGGCCCGTGGGCCTTGAGTTACAGAAGTGTTCAAGAACATGTTAAAATGCTTGACCCCAGTAAAATGCATATATTAGAGGAAAGCAAGAACAAAGCAGAATTTATGCGAACTGGCTACAACTTCACAAAGGTGTAGCGCTAACCAACAGATGACAGAGTGTAGGATTTGTTGTTTTCAGCGGTTGAGTGGTTGAATCATCCTCCCTGGTCCTCCCCCCACCCCTGCTTTCAAARGCAAAGGAGTTTCTACGGTGTCTCTCAGGTGTCAAAAACCTTTGATAATTCCAACCACGATGTCTACCAGCAGCTTCAGGGCTAGTGATGTTTCAGGTGGTAAGATTATGAGCTTTAATAAGTAAAATTATCCCAGCTACAATGACAGACAACAAATATTACATTTATAGATTTAC